AGAACAGAGAAACAAAGGCAGCTCCAGGGGATTCAGTGGCAAAAATTAAATCTTGCCCTTGCCACCTGCTGAAATGGATGAGTGGCAATCAGATTTTTCCATCTTTCCCATTCATGTTCATCATTCCAAGCCCCAGAAGAGACAATCTGGTTAGCCTAGTTTAGGGGCCAGGGGGAGAAAGGAAACTTTACCTGACAGTCATGACGACTACATAGAGCAGAGAGTGTATGCTGGATGATCAAACCCCAGAAAATATCCACCATACCCCATTTTCTCTTCCTAACCTCCATTTCCTACTTTTTCTAATTATTCATAATAGGAGTGACCAACATATCTTCCAAGGTTATAGAAAAGATACTTTAAAAAAAAATCCATTTACATTGGAATTTTTCCCAAAAGGTATTAATGGTTGAGGAAGTTTGGCCTTAACCCTCAGCAGGTGGTAGAAAGAGTAAAAAAGATAATGTACGCAAAATGCCTATTACATGCTAACATGTAAGTTTTGGTAAATGTTATTGCCATCCCAGCGCTTCACCAGTGGTGTGTCGGAGCCAGCTCATACAGCTCACACAAGGATCCAGGATCCAATCATTATATTTTTAGGATTTTTGTGAGCCAATTGACATAATATTGGTAGCTTGAAGTTGACCTTGATGGGAATTTTTACGCCATGGAAATTGAAATGTTGCAAATGAGGACTTGCCCCCTATCCCACCCCCAACATAGTTATTAATTATTTACCTGTCCACCACTGCATCCACTTCTTTCTTCACAAAATGTGAGTAGAATCATGAAGGATTGAGTGCCAGTTAGGATTGGATTCAGCTGTGAGTAAAAACAACAACAGTGGTTTACTACCTATAAGTTAATTCTCTAGATTGAGGTAGGCAGTTCGGGCTTGGCTAGTAGCTCTAATTTGTTGCCTCACACAAACATGGCTTTTACTTCATGATATAAGATGGCTGCTGTAGGGGCCAAGGGCCGGCTGCCCCAGGATAGGCCAGTTTGGCATGAATTTTATTTTGAGTTATAAGCAATCAAAATGCAGCTTCTCCTAATGGAGAAGCTCTTCACATCTCCCTCACTGCCTGTTTATACCAGAGGGAGCTCTCTTGTACCAAAGAGAGCTATTTTTTTTTTTAAGTTTTATTTATTTATTTATTTAAGAGAGAGAGAGAGAGAGAGAGAGAGAGAGAGAGAGAGAGAGAGAGGGGGGGGGGCCGGGAGAGGGAGAGAATCCCAAGTAGGCTCCCCACAGTCAGCATGCAGAGCCTGACATGGAACTTGAACTCATGAAACCGTGAGATCATGACCTGAGCCAAAATCAAGAGTTGGCCTCTTAGCTGAGTCACCCAGAATCCCCTAACAGAGATTCCTCTTTACCTAAGAAACTTATCTGCATAATAGGGAGATCTTAGTTTTTTTCAAATATTCCTTTCACCTTCATGCTAATGGTCTCTCACTCCTTTGTATCATCAGACACTACCCCTCTCCCAAGCTCATATAAGCATCATGTTGCCTCATTGTCTTTGGAATTTCATGTCTGTGTGGATTCCCTGCATGTATGTTACATTTGATTTTTTTCCTGTTAATCTTTCTTATGTCAATTTGATTCTTAGTCCAGCTGGAAAGACTCTGAATGACAGAGGAAATCTCCCTCCCCAACACTGTGTAAGCTCCACATTACAGCCAGTAGGGAAGAGAAAGGCAAAGAAAAACTCCCCTTCCTATTAAGGCCATCAATAGAAGCAACACACAACATTTCTGCTTATACGAAATAGATTGAGGTGAAGTCACTCAACCATATCTAGCTTCAAGGGAGGCCTGGACATGTTTATTTACTCCAGGCAGCCATGTGCCCATCTGGAAACTAGGAAGAAGGAGCAAGTGGATACTGGGAGACAGCTGGCCATCACTCTTGTTACCAGCTAGAATCCAAGACTTGAACCCAATGGCTTGAACTCACCGATCTTTGTCCCACATTTTTCCTTAACCTCTTTTTTCCAGCTTATCTCTTAACTCAGGCAAATGGAAAGCAATACTGCCCCTTAAGCAATTGCAAGTGCTCTGACAAGACCTTCAGCCAGCCCAGACCACCCAGACCAGTTTGAGCTTAATCCCCAACTGGCACCTGCACAGATGGATCATGGAGTGACCTCTAGAATGACCTACCATTACCTTTACCTCATTATAATACTAAAACCTCGGGGCGCCTGGGTGGCGCAGTCGGTTAAGCGTCCGACTTCAGCCAGGTCACGATCTCACGGTCTGGGAGTTCGAGCCCCGCGTCGGGCTCTGGGCTGATGGCTCGGAGCCTGGAGCCTGTTTCCGATTCTGTGTCTCCCTCTCTCTCTGCCCCTCCCCCGTTCATGCTCTGTCTCTCTCTGTCCCAAAAATAAAAAACGTTAAAAAAAAAAAATACTAAAACCTCTGCCCAAGGAGGAGCCTCAGACTCATTTACATAACATACAATGTATCTGTAGGCATATTTCCTGAAGGTGCATGCATGACCTTAAGCCCACCTCTACATATGATGACAAGGTTTCCCTGTCTAAATATTTATCCTAACCATAAATAAAATGGAACCCATCCACCCTTGCTCAGGGAGTCACAGCTTTAGAAGCTATTCAACGTGATCTCCTTGTTTGCAGCAAATAAAGTTTTCTTTTTGCAACAACCTGGTACAGCGTCTGATTCATCAAGGAGTGAACTCATGTTGATTCAGTTATACTCCTACTAATGGGTGGGATTTAGGAAAGTATAGGTGAGAGGGGAAAGTCCTGCTGGTGTGATAGGAATGTGTGTGTTTGTGGAACTCTGAAGGAGCTGGCTGGAACCAAAAATTAGAAATACTGAAAATGAGATTAAGTAAATAAGATGGAAGCTGGCCAGATCTCAGTCAGGGGCCAGGAAAGCAGACAAAAGAATCTTTATCTGGTGCCACTAGAAACAGGAGGCATTGAACTTTTGGGTAGGGGAGCTGTACAATCAGAGGCATTTAAAAATTTTTAATCTAGCAATTACATGCTAGACATGTTGGAGAAGGGTGGAAAAACAGGAAGCATCAGGCAGGGTGCAGGGGAGACTGATTTCACAATCCAGCTGTGAGGTAGGAATACATCTGAGAGCCATTCGCTAGACAATGTGTTTGGCTTGATGACTGGCCTGATAGGGAGTTTCAGGCTGGGGTCAAGACACAGGATTTACAGGGTAAACAGAACAAACCTGCCTTGGTAGGTGTTTTCAACTGGGCCACTTAGAAGCAGAGCCTGTGGAGCTCCTGGGTGGCTCAGTCGGTTGAGCAGCTGACTTCAACTCAAGTCATGATCTCATAATTCATGGGTTCGAACCCCGCATTGGGCTCTGTGCTTACAGCTCAGAGCCTGGAGCCTGCTTCACATTCCATGTTTCTCTCTCTGCCCCTTAAACCCTTCCCCGCTTGTGCCCTTTCTCTCTCTCAAAAATAAATAAACAAAAAAAAGAAGCAGAGCCTGGTGGGACATTTATTCAAGGGGCTGATTGAAGGAAGAAAAGAAGAGTAAGGACAATGGGATGGCAAAGGGGAAGCAGCTGAGCAAGTGTGTGGGCTGAGCTGCAGTCCATAGGAAAGCTCTTGGCACAGATGACACAAGAGTGGGCTACAGCTGGAGGCAAGTGGGCTGGTGTCTTATAGTCCTGCATCAGGCAGTCATTGACTCAGGCCTGCCCAAAGTGTGTGTAACTGGGGAAGGCTTGGCTCCCATTTGACCCAGGGCAATTCTTCAAAAAGGGGACAGCTGTGTGGTTATCAGACAACATGCTTGTGGGTGATGAGTGGACCAGCTGCTAAAAGGTCTGAGTGAGGCCCAGACAGAATCCGTTACAGTGGGTCCATTTTGGGTGTGTTGGATTTGAGGTGGCAAAGAAATAAGGTATTAGTACATAACTAGTGGGTCATGGGATCTACCAGATAGGAGTTCATGTAGAAGAATAGGGCTAGCTATGAAGATTCTAGAGTGAGGGACTCTGACACACAGATAATAGTGTGATAAGAAGAAATAAGCTCTTTGACGGCCATAGAGACAGAGAGGCGAGCAAGCCTTTGGAAAGAAAGTTGGTTATTCCCTAGTGGGAAGGTGGGTGGGAGAAGAGGAATCAATGAATAAAACAAAGCAGAGATCAGTAGAAAGACATATTAGTGTGGTAGTTTAACTTATCACTGGAAGTCAAGGGAAGAAGACATTGAAGAAGAATGAGTATGGAGAAAAAGTTGAGGTGTCTTGTTTTGTTTTGTTTTGTTTTGTTTTTTAGTTCAGATGTTGTTGGTGGCCTTTAAGGGAACAACGTCACAGCAGAACTGGGTTAGAAACCACATAGTGAGAGCTAGTAATGCTTTCCATATTTAATGGCATTCCATTCTGGTTCTTAACTCCTCTAGGGCACTTCTTGCTTCAATTGATATGCTGCTCATTCTGGCTTGTCCTAAGGTTACTCTGTGTTCTGGTTACCTAGTATATATGCTGCCGAAGTGAGCACAATGTCTGGTTACCTAATGTTGCCTAACAGATTACCCCAAGACTTAGCAGCATGAGACACCCTTAGTTATATTCATGGATTCTGTGGATTAGGAATTTGGATGGACACAGTGGGGATGGCTTGTCTCTGCTCCATGATGTCTGGGGCTGCAGCTGGAAGACTCAAAAGCTGGGGACCAGAATTATCTGCAGGTTTCTTCACTCACACATCTGACAGTGGATGCTGTCTTATTGGCTGGGGGCTTCAGTTTCTCTCCTGGTGGTCTAGATTGGGTTATTCCTGCATGGTGGCTGGGTTACTGAAAGAAAGAAGCAGGCATGAACTGTATTCTTTTTATAACCTCATCTTTTTTATGATCTACATTGTTCTCCCTGTACCCCATTGGTCAGTGCAGTCACAGCCCAACCCAGATTCAAAGGGAGGGAACATGACCCCACCCTGGAATCTATAAAACTACTGAAGAAGAGCATGGAGATGGAGGGCCACTCATCTTCAGAAAATGCCATCTGCTATACTCTGTCAGAGCTTCTTATGAGTGTCCTCTTTATTCAACAACCATCAATAATAACAGTAATGGAATGAACTACCTGAGGCCTAGAGGGGTAAGTGAGGTACTCTAGATGACTCAACAAGGACTCCAGTGTGACATGGACCCAGGGCTTCTGGGTTGATGTTACTTTTATTAAGAACTGGATGCCTCCAAAGAGCAAATAAAACTTGTGGAGACTGGGACTGTTTCTTCAGATGCTCCATCCATCCTCACAGCAGCTCAGGGTCAACTACAGAGCTATGAACAGAGATCCCTCAGCCACTTACTGACTGGTCCTGCATTTGATACACCCATTTAATATGATGATTTAATATAATTTTGTATCTCTTTTCTCAGGAGAGCAGTCAAAGGCTAGGACACAGACCCTAATGTTGCATTCAACTTCCTGGCTGGAAGACCAGGATGAAGTTGCTTCTGATCTCTATGCTGGCAATGAGCAAGGCAGCACCCATGTCAGGAGTGTGAGGTAAGTGGGAGATGCCAAGGAGTATTCAGGTAGAGAAATTAGATGGTGATCTGAGGTAACTGCATAGGAAAAGCAGGGAAGGCTAGAAGGGAAGTGGCTGAGGCAATGGCTGTGGGTCCAGCTCAGAGGGGAGGGGAGCCAATTTCCACCCCCTCCTGAACTCACATCCCAGTTCTAAACATGTTTCACAGCCCCAGGGGGAGACTCTGGCAAAGGATTCAGTGTGGGTAGCAGGCATACTTATCACGATCAGAGTGAGTGGGAGCAGATCTTAGAACTTACATCAGGTCTCAATTTTCCAGACCCTGCCTATGCCCTGCCCTTCCACCCAAACCTATCTTTGACTTCATCTCTTTAGAAATGTCCTTGGGCTAGCAGTTTCTTTCTCAGAGATTGCAGATCAGGAAGAACCTTTGGAAACCACAGTTTCCACTTCCGCTGTAGGGGCAGAACGCATGGGGCAGCCCAACCCCTCAATGCCTAGGAAGTAGCAGAGGAAGTAACTGAAGCTGGCTCTGTGCTGTAGGACTATTGCCCTTACCAGGTCCCCACTATCCTGCATCAGCCCTGCAGGGACCTGTCAAGGGGTCTTTTTGCCTCTGGTTTCTCTCTATCCTGCTCACCTCTATAAAAAGGTATTTTCTCCCTGCTCAGGCCCCCTGGCAGTAGCTCACTGTGACTTCTCATCTTACCCCCAACTCCTTGGCCTCACCTTCATGACCTTGGTGTATCATTTGTGAGTCACCCTTGCTGCCTTGTTCCAGCCCCACCAATGTGCTTATTGCTCTCTCCCACATAGGAATTACTCACTGCTTATGTCATCAATCCCTCTGGAATGTGCCCCTTCCTCCATGACACCCATTCTCTCTTCATCCTTTATTATTATTTTTTAAACTAACAGTGTTGTCTTTTCCCCCTTGGATGATTAAAATAATACATACTTTTTGTAGAAAATCTGTAAAATGAAAAATGTATACAAAAGAAAATTGAAAGTACCCATAACTCCACAGCTTAACTAACTGTGGTAACTAACATTACCATTCTGGTGGGCTTCCTTCTTGTCTCCTCCTCACCAAAACTCCTTTCTGCCTCGGGCCTTCATGCATGCTTATTATTCCTTCTGCCTAAAAGTCTCTCTCTCTTCCTTTCTCCTCTACCTACTACCCCCTCTTCTCTTCCCACCTGCATTCTGTGAGTAAATCAACTCATCTGTATGATCATAAAGGTCATTCTTGCAGAGAAACTGTTCCTCTACCTCCAAGTTATGTCTATTACACATTCACAGCACCTAGTACTTTTCCTTGTATCATTTACCACAACTAGAAATAAACCATCATTTTTGTCCTCATGTGTTTAATGTCTGTCTAAGCTACTTGACTTGACATAAGGTCCATGACTGGCTTACTTGTTTATTCTGTTGACCCTAGCATCTGCCACAGTGCCCCGTATACAGAAAACACACAACACATTGTACCAAGACACCTTCCTAGAGTAACCATGTGTCCTCTCAGCACTTTAAAATAATCAGTTTAAAAAATACGATGAGGGGCGCCTGGGTGGCGCAGTCGGTTAAGCGTCCGACTTCAGCCAGGTCACGATCTCGCGGTCCGTGAGTTCGAGCCCCGCGTCGGGCTCTGGGCTGGTGGCTCGGAGCCTGGAGCCTGTTTCCGATTCTGTGTCTCCCTCTCTCTCTGCCCCTCCCCCGTTCATGCTCTGTCTCTCTCTGTCCCAAAAATAAATAAAAACGTTGAAAAAAGAAAAAAAAATTAAAAAATACGATGACTCAATTACCATATGAGACCTGGTTCCAGGTACAGGAAACCTGGATCTTGCCCCAAGGAGTCTTCAGTCTTTTGAGGGAGACAGACAAGTAAGTGGAGGATTCTGATATGTCCTTGATGATCAGTTATAAGTATATATAATCAATAGTGTTAAGTAAAGCATAGAGAAAGGGCCCCTAAACTAGCCTTGAGGGAGGTGATGCTATTGTTTTAATTTGTCCTCATTAGTGCATTTACTTCATAGAATCATAGGATAATAGAATTGAATGGGACCATGAGATCAATAGGCCCCAACTCTTTCTGTGAGGTGAGGAAATTAAAGCAGTGAAGGGCAATAAAGTGACTTGGCCAAAGCCCCTGGGTAATTTACTGGTGGCAGATCTGGGATTAGAGCCTCAATCTTGAGACTCCCAGTGCAGTACCCTTTCTAACTGTACCTTAGGGGCCTTTGGAGGAGGGGCCTTTAGAGGAGGCACCCCCCCCCCCCTTCCATTCTGTTAATCCCCAAGTCCTGCTGATTTTACCTTGTAAAGGTTTCTTCAGTTTGTCTGCTTTTCCTCCCGTCCCCTCTATCATTCTCCAAATCTCCATCATCTCCAGCCTGGGTGCCTACACTCACTTCCTACCTTGTCTCTCTGCTTCTAGTCTTGTCCTGATCAGATTCCTTCTCCACTTTGCAGCCCAAGTGAGCCTTCACAGGCCTAAGTGTGAGCATGTATATCCCCAGCTTAAAGCCTCATTGAATTTTTCGTTCAAATTAATATGGTATGTTAGCTTTGGCTGCCATAACAAAATACTGCAGAGTGGGTGGCTTAAACCACAGAAATTTATTTCTCATTGTTCTGGAGGCTGTAAGTCCAAGATCAGGGTGCCAGAAAGTAGGTTTAATTCTGAGTCCTCTTCTTCTTCTTCTTCTTCTTCTTCTTCTTCTTCTTCTTCTTCTTCTT